ACACACACACGCATGCAACCCCCACAACGCTGACTCTTCCATTAGCACGAAACTTTTACATTCAATTATGTTTATTTATATCTGCATTAACTAATGCATATGACCCCTCTGGAACTTTTGCAGTGAATTATGTTTATATATGTATTTGTTTCACTTGAGGGCTAAGACTCTGAAGCATATAGTTTTGTAACTACACTGCTTAAGCATGGTGCTTGGTATAGAGAGAGTGTGTGTGTTGGTGTGGAGGAATTGGGATATTACGATGAATGCTGAGGTTTTGAGCTGCTATGGGTCAGCACCATAAACTACCCAAGAATCATCGAATATGTCAAAAGTGAAGAAAAGCTGCTGAATGTGGGTGTTCCTCAAGAGCTCCCATGTCTCTGCTTCAGGAACCTTCTCTGAATTTTGGTATAACCTCTCGTGCCATGCTGGAGAGGGGAGTTCAAAGACCTTGACCTAGAGGCCACTGACCCTCAGGAAACCGGGGAAATAGCCCTCTCTTTACTAAAGAGGTGGGGAGACTGAAGGGGGAGATTATTTTTTATGCTAAGACTATATGATAATAATGGAAAATTGAGAAAAAAATGAAGTGATCAACACATACAAAATTTAATAGGTTTCATCATTGAGAAACCTCTCATTAAGGTAAAACTGGAGGGGCCGGCTCCGTGGCCGAGTGGTTAAGTTCGCGCGCTCCGCTGTGGGGTCCCAGGGTTCGGATCCTGGGCGCGGACATAGCACTGCTCATCAGGCCACGCTGAGCGGCGTCCCACATCCCACAATTAGAAGGACGTGCAACTAAGATATACAGCTGTGTACGGGGGGGGTTTGGGGAAAAAAAAAAAAGATTGGCAGCAGTTGTTAGCCCAGGTGCCAATCTTTAAAAAAAAAAAAAAGGTAAAACTGGAGAATTTATCATCTTTTTTCAACAACAATTGCCTTTTATTGCTCCACAACCACAACACCACCACCGAGTCAGTGTCTACCACGTGCAAAGCAGATGAGATATTTATGTATAGCCATATCAATATCTCAGCTTCAGTGTATTAGTATTATTAATTTTAAAAAACAGATATTTTAGATACTTGTCAATCATTTTATTTATCACAAATTCATAATTCTTATGCTAAGGCAAACAATTTCACAATCAATAACACATGAGTTTGTGCTAAAATCAATTTTACAGTGTTTACCACGAGAAGCAGTGAAGCTAATTTCTTATATCTGCATAGACAGAAATAGCTAAATTAATCTACGCCATTATTGGGGCCATCCAGGAGATATAAATAAGGGCAAATATAGAAAATACACTGAGTGCATAAAATGCATAATTAGCATGAGGTCAAAACAGTACTAGCTAGCCTTTTCACAAACTTAGAAAGTATTTTATACATTTTAATTTTCCTATGGGAATTGGATGAGCTGTCATTCTAAAGTGACATAATTTATCGCAGTTCTAGGAGTCATAGCTTACTGCTACATGCATATCCCTTCTTAATTTTAACTATTTCTTAAAATACTTTTTGGGTCTTTGTTTCAAAATGAGTTGGCTATCAGGTTTCTCTTCATCAGATGTTCTGGTAGCTCTCTACGTCACTTGATAGTTTATAAGCTACTTGGGGTAAAAGGTAACATCTAGAAGGCAAAATTACAAAGACATAGGCAACCAAAGGGAAGAGTTAAGCTAATACGTATGAGAAATAGTGGGGAATTTGAGGATGAAGGGAAAGCACAGAAGAGAGGAGAGGAGAGAGGCGAGAGCAATAATAAAGGGCTGAACAACGTGGCAGAGTGGCCAAGTGATTTTTAAGAAGAAGGGTACATAGACAAGTTGTATTTATACTGTTTGCATTTTCATTACGCAGACATTCCTCCTTTTAGAACCCATTGCCCAACCTTCCACAAAGGCTTCAAACCACCAAAAAACCTTGCGTGATTGGATATTTTTGTTTGTGTGTGCATGGAAATTAAAGAAAGGGGCCGGGTTCCACTTGGGTCTGAAACAGAGCAGAGTTGCAGAGCAGAGAGCAGGAATTCATAATCATAGGTTACCAGTGGAATATAAACTTCCCTAAAAGCCATAATATGCCTAGAAAGAGCACGAGACTTTTTCCCAAGGGATGGTGTTAGGGAGAAGGGTAGTTCAAATTTACTCAGCCTCTAGAAAGCACAGCATCCCAGGATCTTGGATATATATGTAAACAGAAGTTTTGAGTAACAAAAGATTAGAAAATACAAAACAATAAAGATTTCAGAGGTAAGCTTCAGGTCTCATTTACCCTTAAAAATGTAGCTCATAAGGAGCCCTCTGAAAGAAGCAATACTTTTGGTTCCAGCCGTAATGACATAGGTTATATTGAACTAACCCTACAGTAAAAAATAATCATAAATCTGAACAATATACGTAAAATAACTGTTTGAAAGCATTGGAGAGTGAGAGACTCAGGTAAGACGTGAAGGGCTGTGATCCCCGGGAAAAGGGAAGCTGGCCAGTGTGAGCCGCACATTTACCCAGGCATTTTCCTGAGGGAGTTTTCTATTTCATTGTGAGGTAGAATAGAACAGACTAGAAAGGAGGAAGCTTACTGGCTGAGGACACAGAAGATGAAGTTCAGGCATACCAAACCATCGGGGATTTGCAGGATAACATTCCAGAGAGGAGGTAACAGCATTAACGTGGCCCTTGAGGCCTTAGCCAGCTCCTCCCTGGAGCACACACACAGAGTGCTCCAGGAAACGCAGAGGAAAACAGCAACTGGGCGGCTAAATGGCAGAGCAGAGATTTCAGCACCAGGTGGTGCGGAGGAGATGAAGGCTAGAGTTCAAGCCGTGCCAAATCGGAGGGGCCTTGGGAAGCATCCAAGGCTTTCATCTGAGATCCCAGAACAACCACGTCTTAGGACTGAGGGCCACACCCCTAGAGTAAGAGCGAACTGAAATAAACCAGCCCGATAAAGCCTAGGAGGAATTATGGACGGGATGAAATGATTCACTGGTCCTCTATCTGCCTGCCAAAAGAAAATCTTATCCTATTTGGAGGAAAAGAATATGAACAATTTTTCATAGTAATATCTAGATTTAAACAAAATTATGACACCTGCTAAAAAAAGGGAACCAAATGACCAAAAAGCAAGGGAGAGAAAAATAACAGAAAATGAAAATAGTCCCACTCAGACATTGGAATTTTAAAATCACTATGATTGATGTTCCAGCAAATAGAAAAAAAAGCATAAAAAATTTGATCAAATATAAAGATCTTTAAAAAGTAATCAAATAAAAAGAAAGTAGGGATTGAGGACGAATATTTTCCACTTTTCCATGCTGAGGAATGTTGGCTATTTCTTTCTCTTCCTCATTGCTTTTTTCCTTTTTGGTTGCATCCAACTTCTAACTCACCTCCATTCTTCAAAAATAGTTGTCACATGAGGCTGTCATGGAGATCACAAAAAACACTGGTAGTTTTAAAATTTTCTCTATTGAATAGGAAGATACGAAAATTGCCTTCAAGAAGAAGAGACAACGGAACTAATAGAAAGTGTATAGATTTCTTGTTTGTTTCTTTTGGGGGGGGTGAGATTAGCCCTGAGCTAACATCTGCTGCCAATCTTCCTCTTTTTGCTGAGGAAGACTGGCCCTGAGCTAACTTCTGTGCCCATCCTCCTCTACTTTGTATGTGGGACACCTATCACAGCATGGCTTGCCAAATGGTGCCTTGTCTGCACCCGGGATCCAAACGGGCAAACCCCGGGCCGCCGACACAGAATGTGCAAACTTAACCCTTGGGCCGCCAGGCCAGTCCAGAAAGTGTATAAATTTTTAAATGACAGATACCTCGGCTCATATGCTATCCCTGCCCACTACGAGTTTGTGTGATGACATATAAATTACTCAACTATTCTGAATCTGTTTTCTCATCCAAAAAAATTGATGGATGCTTACCTTAAAAAGTCATTTGAAGCACTAAATGAGATGCTTTATATAGGCAGAGTGCTTAGCTCAAATAGATTCCCAAGAAATATTGATACCTCCTTTGCTGTTTGCTATCATAAATGGGGAGAGGCACACATTCAAAACTGGTAATCTTGAACTTCAGAATGGCATACCATCGAAGTATTGACGTCATTTGATATCCTCAACCAAGATGAGGTAATACAAAATTTGGATTCTTTCTCTACCTTTCAAAGTGGAGAATATTAATGACTAACAAAATGTCTGCACAACGTGAGTTAGTCCAAACAACTGCTTCTTAAACCCTTAGGGAAAATATTGAGTATTGCAAATATCTCGGATAGAGTTCAGGACAGCAGGTCAAGGCTTTTGTTGTCACAGAATGCTATGCATGCTCTGGCTTGCCTTTCAACAATCATTCCTATTAAATCATTTGTCCCTCTGACACATCTAATGTAGTCATGTTCACGATCAGCTTAATCACAGGATGCAGTATAGTACATATTTTGACAGGAAAGCTGTTTGTATAAGCTGAAACATGCAGCAAATATATAATTTCATAAAGTGTCATTATGCTTTCTTTGGCTTGAATCCTTTTATGCATATTTAGTCATTTTAAGATAGACTGTTTTGGGTACTGGTTAACAAAAAGACTGTTCTTAAGCAAAATCTATATCAAGCAAGAGTTACAAACACAGCAAACTCTGAACTACATATTCTATCTGGAAATCTTTCAATTCTGGAGATATCACACATCTCTAGCTAAATGTCATATATCATTGAAATTGCTTCTAAACACATGAAAATAAACAAGAAAGAAACTGAGTTAAGAGAAGTCATCCATAAAAAATACTTTCTTAGAATGTTGACAATAAACTCCAGGTTTGACTTGTGGCTAATTATTTAATTGCCTAACTAGTGGCTGAATAATCATACCTTATATATTCAGAGACTTTTAAAGTGAGGTCATGACGTCTGCCTGTATTGTTATAAATGATCTCCAGGGCCCGTGTTATTAGGTCTCAGCACTAATTAGAAGTGAGACTTACATCACTCTCATGACCTTCGCGAAGGTTGTATGTGAGGTCATGCTGAATGTCTTCCATGAATTTGTGAGCATATTCTGGGTAAAGGTCTAGCACTTCAAAGAGTCCTTTGAGGATGATGCACTGGAGATCACAGTAGGTTAACGCCTTCACATCTGCATTGGTCTTGATCACTTGGTCCTTAATTGATAGATTTGCTCCAATTAAATCCCCTTTCCCTTGAAACAGTGAAAAAAGAGAAATGTCACTTTTAAAAAAAGCATGTTTAGGACTGGAAACTTCATTTGATTCACAGGCTTCCCTTCTCTGAGATTAGACTGAAAAGAGAAGAGGGACCTTTTTCCGGGGCAGGGTTTCTAAACTTGGCAGCATTGAGATTTGGGGCCTGGTAATTGTCTGTTGTTTGGGGGCTGTTCCGTACATAGTAGAATGCTTAGCAGCCTCTCTCATCCCCCACCCCCAGCGATGACAGCCCAAAATATCTTCAGACATTGCCAACTGTCCCCTGGTGGGCAAAACTGTTCCCAGCAGAGAATACTTGTCTAGAGGAGAAAGACCAGAGACCCAGAATTAGGAACTGTAGGTCACAGATGGGCTCCAGACAAGTCCCTCACAGGATTCGGCAAACGACTTTAGACAAACCAGTTGACACTTTTGTCACAGTTGTCTTAACGGTTCAAGAGAAATAATAAAAGCTCAGATTTTTCTGAGTGTAAAAGAGGCTCTGTGTAAGACCATCAAGATGTGGATTATCATTTTGATTCTAGCACTTAGAATAATAATGTAAGCTTCATCGTCAGCTTTCTAACATACTCAGGTTGTTTTATTTATCTCTGAACATGGCTACAAGACAGGTGGGTGATGTGGAAAGAGGTTTTCTCCTTCCCTCATCTCAGGGTTGGGAGGCAGAGATAACAGAGATAACCATTGAACATTATGGACAGTGAAATCTACTACGTAAAAATGTAAAACATGTCATGGTTCTAATGCTCTGTGACAGTATAAAAACCCCATTTGCTCCATCCAAAAAGAAAGTGAATAAATGAAAACTATGAGCTCTTCACTTGTGGCACTACAGAGAGAGCGCTCTAGCACCGCTTTACCTAAGCCACCCATGGCCCGCCCCACACCCAGCACCCCCGATCTTTTGCCTGCAATACCTCAGCCTATGAGTCTTGGGCTGGATTTCCCTGCCTGGGAACCAGCTTGCTTCCTTGAGTGAGCTGACCAGATGATATTGCACAATTTATTCCGATCTTTAAAATCTTTAAATTGATTTGACTCAGTTTAACTTAGCGGGAAGGTGAGCATAAATGTAAGAGCTAATGAACAGCTGATTACAGCTTCACATTTATTTTAGACACAGTTATTAATCCACTCAGCATCCATGTGAGAAACATGACAGAAAAGCCATTCAATTCTCAGACAAACTTTGGTTAAAAGCTGAAGTAATATGATCAAGTTCACAGAGGACACTGGCGCTAGCTACACGGCTACAGCTTAGGAGTTTCTGAGTCTTTACTTCGTCCTCAAATAGCATCATGCCTAGCTTTAACTTTTATTTTTTTTAATGGCCACTTTGCTCCATTTCATAGGCAATCAACAATAAACAATTGACCAACAAAAAAAGCCACCAAGAAAATAATATCTTTGGAATGTTATAGAAGGAACTGCCCGTCCTGTGTTCAATTAATTTTGTAACTTCTAAAGTTTTATTTTTTTATTGTGCCCAGCATTTCCAGAAGCAAAGTTTCTGGCATGCAGCAGGCTTCAATAAAAATCTGTTTTACTGAATTTGACAGTAAAAGGAAACATGCCAAATTAACCATGAATACCTGAAATATTCATAAATATTTACGGCACAGCAAAAAATTGAGCATTTTTAAATTATCAAATTGTATCTCAGTATTATCTTTGATTAATATTGGATTTAAACCTTGAAATTGAGCCTATTTGGCAGAAGAAAAAAAAGATTGAAATCTATATATATAGACACTACGGGCAAAAACAGCCACATGGTGCTGATGAATTCAAGTCTGATTTTTTGTTGTCATCAATACTGCTAAACTTGGAAATTTCATTTCTTGCATATTTTGTTAGAAATCTAAATTGCTGCTCAAAAATTCAAAGTTGGGTACTGGTGCAAGATGTAAATATAGCCGGGGTGCCTTGAATACAGCAAATTTTCAAATTTTGTATATCTGAGGAGAATTTATTATGATGCATTATCTTGCCATAGTGAGCATTCACATTTTATTAAGCAACTGGTGTTTGGAATAACTTTAGGGCTGTCATACTTTCATACCTCGAGTGGCCATGGCTCTTTTGGCCACAATGACCCTGTTATAAAAATAGCACCAACATCTTGCCAAACTTGGCACCCTGGAAAGAATCCCAGTTTATTTATTCATTCAATGAATATTTATGGAGCACTGACGTGTGTGCCAGACCTTGTGTCGAGTCCTGGAAAGCAGACACTGGTGAGTAACAACATGGTTCTCACTCTCACTAATTTTACCGTTTTGTAGATTTCTCACTATCCAGGTTTGGGACCTAGATCTAAGCTTCTTGATTACTCTGGGCTTCAGTATCCTTATTTCTAAAAGAACAGAAAGATATCTATGGTCACTTACAGTCTCCATTATTCAGAGTTCTATAATTGATATTTGCTAATCAGTTATTCTTCCACTGGGCAAGAAAAAAACTAAAAGTTTATGGGACGCATCTGCAAACCATCCGGGTTAGAGCTTTAACTTGTGTTTAATCATAATTAGTCAGACTAATGCCATCTGTGAAGAGTGCATTTATCAGGGCTTTGTTGTTTAAACAAGAATGAAGAAATTGGTGGGAAAACACAATTAGTGGGACATGAAATGAAGGTATAAGAGGCAAAAATATTCTATTCCAGTAACAAATCCTGGCCTTCATGGTCAACTCCCTCCCCAGGCATCAGATTAGGAAAGGCCTTCATGCATTGACTGGACCACAGAATTGCTTGAATGAGTTACAGCTGACAGCTGTTTGGTGCTATTTCTTCCCCACGACATTATAGATTAAGTCATCTTGTTGGCAGAGTGAACATGTATTAAATATGTACAGATCAAATGTGAAGCCACGTGCTTAAGGTTATCAAAGTCAGTATTGATTTGAATTGGCCCCATAAGACAGTATTACCATAGAGAAAGTAAGATAGTCAATCTCCATTGAAATAATGTTAACCACAGAGAGAAAATATTAATAATTTATTATCTTTGTTTGGGTTTAGTCCAAATACCACGTACTCGTGTTTAAAATGGTCATGTGGCAATTTACACTTAAATCACTTTTGATGGATAACACAGTAGAAGCAAAGATGTGAAAATGTTAATCGTGGAAATCACAATTTGTGGAGGAAATTGGGTAGGAGCAAAATGCAATGGATTAAATCCTACAGCTGTTAGTAGAATTTGTTTTTTTAAACAAAGTAATCCAATTGCATTGTGTATTGCAAACAATGGTATTTACATATGTCATCAAATTTGCACCTATTGTTCTCTAGTGTTATGGATGACGCCTTCATATTCCATTCCTAGAATTATTACTAGTTACAAAATTTAAAAATTCATGACAATTATGGAAAAAAATCCACATTACCAATGTTTAAAAATGGTGCGTTATTTTTGCTTGCATGTATATCAAACCATAACGTTCTGGAAAATAACTGTATGCCCTGTTAAATAGGCAGGCTATAAAACTTACAGTGATACTAAGGAAACTCATGAAGTATTGTATGATTAAAGTTAAGTTTTTGAAGCAAACAAAAATAATTGTCACTTTTAATTTAGAAGCAGAAGATGATAGAATGACTGGCTTTTAACTTGACAAAGATGAGAAATGGGCAGGAAGAGTGTTACATTCTCTTACAAAACACACCCATAGAGACCCTCACCCTAACACTGATAATGAACTGGCCAAGCTGATGATAAACTCTTTTAGTTGCTATTTCGTGCCTTTCTATTAAGGAGGAAAACATAAGGGAGTGAGTCAAGAACTGAGCCAAAACTTTGAAAGGCAGCCGTACCTTTCCTCTGGTAAATGGTAAAGTGAAGCCAACATGCAGCAATGAAAAGCACATGGCTGTTTCACCATTCCCTAGCTTCCATCTCTTCACCTTTAACTGAGGATAATCACACCAACCTAATAGGGTTGCAAGGTTTCAATTGGATGGTGGACATAAACACCTGGATCATATTAGGGAGTCAATAAATATTAGTTCTCTCTTCCAAAATATAATCTGTCTAGAAGCTTACTAACTAGAATGCAATGATTATAGGTTCTCAATGATTTATATAATTATGATAAATATATACACATATATATTATATGACTGAACATAATATATACATATGCGTTATATGACTAAACTGGTATTGTTTAGAGGGGGAAAGAGCGCTGGATACAGAGTCCAAACACCTAGGTTAGCTTTGATTTTGAAAAAACGAGAAAATACCTCTCCTATCTGTCTCTTTGTGTTAGGAAGGTTGAATCAAGATCCCACAAGTGAAAATATTTTGTAAATGGTCAAGTTGTTTACAAATATTAGGTTCTTAAATATGAAATTAAAAATAAATGGAAAGTGCCGCATCAGCTCCTTTTTATTAACACAAATTCTAAACATTGGTGTGCTACATTCTCGTGCAAAATGTATTGCTCAGACCAGCACCTGATTCATTCATGGGCCCTCAGAAAATATTAGTTGAATAAATAAATAAACAGAGAGACAAAGGAATAAATCAAATTGATTTTTTTAAGAGGTACACATAAAATTATGGATAGGGATTTTTCTACAGTCACCCTACATGTCATATTTTGTCAACTGACCCTTTATTTCAATGGACACCAATTACGGCTTAATAGTTGGAAACAATTTTGTGGTCCAAGGTCTTCACAAATTGTCTTGTGAGTTTTCTTTGAGGGAATAAAAAAGGCTATAGTCATCTTGACAGTATTGGGTTGATGATTGCTATAAGAACTCAGTCAACGCATAATCATTTTCTCTCTATTTCTATCACAGATAAAACTTAATTTTCAATGCTCTTCTCTGAATTCACTTTCCAAAAAAACACAGAAATGCCCTGTACAATCGACCAGATATTTCACCAAGAGGCAGTATATATCATGAGTAATAATCTGGTTTTAGGAATCAGAAAGAACTATGTCCATTTTCTTACTATGTTATTTGGGACAAATTAAGTTAACTAAGATATTATTTATTCATTTGTAAAATAGGGATACTATTTATACTGCTGGCCTTTTAACAGGGATCAAATGATGTGTTGGATATAATGCTTAACATAGCGAGATAACAATTGATAATAATAATAAATAGTTGGCAAATTAAACCCATTTGAAGAATAACCTCGAGTCCATATATTCATCCATAATTTGCTTACTCTCAATCATAGTTTTTTTTCCCCATTTCATCTCCTTAATTTTTTCTCCAGAGTAAAATTTCATGAAGGTTTTCAACTCAGACCTACCAAGAATAGCCAGCACCATGCTGTCTTTAAGAACTTCCATGGAGCCCGAGCATACAAAGTAGATGGCCTGCAAAGCATCTCCTTGACGCAGCAGGTACTCCCCCGGAGCACAGAAGGAGGTTTTGATGTGTAATGACAGAGACCTGAGGCAGCCCCGGCTGGCACACTCAAAAAGAGACAACTGCAAGATTTCCTTGTTCAGGTGCATGGTGATGTCAGAACGCAACTCATCTGGAAAGTCTTTCAGAAGCTATGAAAGAAGGTGAAAGAGAAAATCAAGTTGGGGTAAGTCTAGTCTAATTGATTTACTTTGCAAGACAACACAGATTTCTTTCCCACTGTTTGACCAATCAGAGAGCAGAAGAGGAAGCACAAGCATGTAAAATTATGGAGAGATTTCTCAATGGCCATGACCCCAGTTATGCGTTACTGAATAATCAGCTGATAATAAGTCTGGAGAAATAGAATAAATTGATAAAAGACTTTAGAATGAAAACATAAAGCTCCTTGTGACTTGCTTCTCGCAAAGACTCCTACTCAGGAGAGAAGATATGGAATGTGGACCCTCTGGTGTTTTCTCTGGTGTCATGATCAGATGAAGAGAGGAGAAACCAAATAATCACTTTAAAGATGTTGATTACTGGTTTGGTTAGGGGGTTGGTGAAATGGTTGCTTGATTTATACGATAGCTTTTTTACAGTGGTTTGGGGTGTTTCTGCAAGTCCAAAGATAACACCTTTACTGAAAAACATTTTTTTTTTACTTTGTTGGTTTTAAAGGCAAGTATTATTTTGATTAATCTAATATTCCAAGATTACACCATTCAACTGTCATTAAGAATTGGTTCCTGCAAAGAGAGTCAATGAGAATGAAAATAAGTCCACCTGATTGACCAAAATAGAAAGTTAATGTAAAACACCGGTCAATCCAAAGTTGTATTATGAGAATACACGCCAAAGCAGAGGAAAGAGGATGGATTGGGTTTCATGAGACATTAAAATTAAAGAGTTAAAAAAGTTGGTAGGTATGTACTTCTGTTCTGAGACCTGCATTAGAGCACCTTGCTTTTACCTTAGAATATGTGCTTTCTGCCTGAAAATGTCAACGTGAGAAATGAACATTACCTCATTTGAATCTATTCCATTGTTGACTGACCAGGTTGTTTGGAAATACTCGAGCATCCTCTGCTTGAGCTGCTGGGGCAGGTGATGGACACGTATGAAGTCCTTCAGATCCTTCGTTCTAGTGTGGTAGAGGGACCACCTGGAGTACATCCTCTGTATGATCGCCGTCACGTTTCCAAATACCAAGGCATGCATCAAGGCTGAAGGAAGAACACAACACAAAACGGGGGAGAGAGATGATGGAGGGCTCACTCCTTAAGTCTCAGTTTACAGTCTATGTATCCCGAGTCAGAGCAGAGTATGCTTACGTGGCCACAGTGATGCGGCTATTTTGGTATGAGCCTTTTGGTGCAGCCACTTTGTCACCGACCTGATACGGTCATTTTGATTTCATATGGCCTGATCAGAATAAAAACATCTTTTAAAAATACTCAGTATGATGCAAAATAAGCCCCTTTGACCCACATTTAATCCGTTAGCTGCCATTCTAGCTATGACAAACTTTTATTTTGCACTCTATTCATATCTGTATTATTTTAGTAGCTTGGTATAGTTTAATGGGTATGATGAAATAGTTTTAATAATTTCATAGAATAAACTATCAAGTTATAGTTTAATGGTTATTTTTTATTATAATTACAAATATGTTTTAAAAAATAAGTCTATCATAACTGAGTAGCCTTTATGGGAATATTAGTCTCTTCTCCAAAGCCATCATTTAAAATTAGTTATGGGGGGCTGGCCCAGTGGCGCAGCAGTTAAGTTCGCGCTTTCCACTTCTCGGTGGCCTGGTGTACGCCGGTTCGGATCCCGGGTGTGGACATGGCATTGCTTGGCAAAAGCCATGCTGTGGTAGGTGTCCTATGTGTAAAGTAGAGGAAGATGGGCATGGATGTTAGCTCAGGGCCAGTCTTCCTCAATAAAAAGAGGAGGATTGGCAGTAGTTAGCTCAGGGCTAATCTTCCTCAAAAAAAGAAAAAAAATTAGTTATAGGATATTAAATGTAGCATATTTATGTTAATAAATACTGAGGAACTTGTTAGAAATGGAATTGAGGATTTCCTGAGCAATCTGAAGCTGAGATGAATATGTCTTCAAACCCCAACCTCATCCCAGCTCCATAGTCATTTTAATTTTAAGGGAGATATCAGAAAATTCGAGACTGTCAAGAAACAAATGAGTTCACAGAGAAACACAAGAATTCTGCTCAGAGTTATCATTACCCTCCTGAGAAGGAGAGGGTGGTAAATAACTACACGACCATTGTTTTGATGAGGTTTCTTGGATAGACAGTATTTAAGCTCCACTTTCTTGCTGAGCCCTCCCTTTCTGAAACCACCACCAAAGCGTGAAGAGAGAGATTTTGCTCACCAGAATCTGAGGGTGGGTGGGGATTGGGGATGGATTTTCTACTGGAAAAAATAGAGCGAGTGAAAGGAGTTCAGTTTCCAGGAGTTGCCCACCATGGGAGGTGGTCAGATATCTTGAAGTCAGAAAAGGGGTGACAAATTTTGTGCTAGTCAGCCAAACAGAACTGGAATGGCCTCTGCAGACGCCAGCAGATAGCTGGAGAGGGCCTTGGACCCACGTGGAGATGTGAAACTGTGAGAGAGATGAGAGCCAGGTGTACTCACACATATGGGAAATTAATTTTCAGGGATATTCAGATTCAGCCCTGATCCTCATCTTGGGGAGAGATTGGTAATGAGGTAAGAAGCTCAGGCATTGAGTGAAATCCTCTGTTTCGGCAGTTTTGGTAAAAAAAAAAAAAAAGACACTAAAAATTTAGTAGTTTGTCTATTAGGATCTATCAAAATCTCCTTGTACCAAAATTTCATGGTCCAGGGAATTATGTTAAAAGTTTCTTAGCATCAAAATGAGTAAATTAGTGCAAATGTGTGAACATGTTATTACATTTATCCTCCTGAATATTTCAGGATAGCCCCAATTCAAATTCTTTTTATCCCCCTACACTTACCAGAAATTATTAACCATTGGAATAGTAATTTCAATATAATCTAAAAAGGGAATTAAAATTCTTTAATAAGTTATATATCATCACTCATCTATGGAAAATACAGCCACCATGCCTATAAAGTCATCCTGTAATAACAAGAAAGGCCTGAATATTTTGGAGAAGTTACTAGAACAGGGTTAAACTTAGGGTATATATACAGGAGGCAATATAATGTTGCAGGCAGAATGTGGACTTCAGAATCAGACATGTCTGGATTTGAACCCTGGCTTTACTATCACTTCTTAGCTCTTGTAAACTAGGCAAGACACGTAATTTTCTTTCAGGGACTCAGTCCCTTTACATGTCAATGGGCATAATAGTACCTTACTCATAGGGCTATTTCAAGATTTAAAGAGTTAATATATTTTTTTCAGTGTCTAGCATATGTGTGAAAAACAGTGGGTGCTCAATTTATGTTAATTTTTCCCACGAAAGTGAAAAGTGTTATGAATTTTCAGCATGCTCAGTAGAGTAAAATTTGGGGAAAAGGACCCAGATTTAAGAGATTTCAGATTTAAGAGGTTCCAACAACCTCTTAAATAATTAAAAGTGGTTCTTGGTGGATATAACTTCTTGATGAGAGAAGTTTGAGAAGTATTCAATAGGTGCCTGCTACGTGCAAGTACATGTAAGTATATATTCTTTCTAAATGATCAAAAATGAAATGTCTTCCAATGGGTCAAAAATATCCCAAGAACAACGTATATTGTTTAACAACTTACAGTTGAATGGTTCTTGGTAGACTCTAAATAGAAGTTCATTCTTCCGTATGGTTCTGATGCTTAGGTATTTTATTTGTAAGAGGAGATCTCTATTTATGATAAACATTCAGCAAACAAAAGAACTGATTCTTCTCCAAGTCTAAGAAATTAAACACCGATTTCAGGCTCTGTTAATACACTTATGGGCTTGGTATTTCGGAGCCCTACCATCTGTAAAAGCATGTAACAGTCTTTTATGGAGCTTGAACTGAGTACCGAGAACAATTTTATTTCATTTGTTTTAACACTGCTTTCCTTAATTACGTGTATGATTTTAACTTTGCTTTGCTTAATTATAATGTGGGTAAAGCACTTAAAGTAAGAGAAGTAATATGCTCAGATCATTTAGCATCTTAATTGTACATTATCAATAAAATGAATTACTGGATTAATTGCAGCATTCATAATTGTTGGAAAGTGCTACTCTATGTCGGAGTCACCATAATTTCAAAGTCTCATTTCAGCATAGGAAAATACTTCTAATTTAAGTAGTTAAAAACATAGAGGCCTAGCTCTCATAGTTTTTCTGTTTCCAAAGTTATTGTCCCTCTGTCACTGGTTATCAGTTTCACACTAGCAAAGAGTGTCTATAACCGTCAGCCCAAATCACTCCATCTGCTCTGAAAGTTTGACTCAAGAACTTCCATATCCAGGTCAGTGTGGAAATTACCGTTCACTTTTCCTTCGACTCCTAGCAGATTTGAGGTATACAGTTCTTAAAGTAGCACACCAGGCCTGCTGCTGACTGTGTGGGAGGCTCTTTTTTTGTGTGTAGGAGTTTCGTATAGAATGCATTTTGTAAAATGTCATCTTGCTGTCAGGTCTTTGGAGGAACCTCAACAACTGGAATCCAAGAAGAAAGTAAACAGACTTCTCTCTCTCACTCCCTTCCCAACACTTCTCTTCCTGGCTTTTGGGTGACATTGCTCTCCTTTGCTCTTCTATGGCCAACTACTTTGCAGTTCCTTCAGAGTCTGCATAGGAACTGTATTCTCCTGATGTAAAAGGAGACCAGAGCTCAGGCTTTGGGTAATCTTAGCTGTCCTCCTCTCTCTCCCACCTACTCATTGCCCTGGAATTTTCCACTCCTTGCTACAAGTACACCGGGTTGTGGATGGCAGATGGTTGCGAAAATAGAGAGTGAGAACAATTTCCTGAGTGAAGAATTTAAATGGCAGTCTAAAGACATCTTAAAAAGGGCCTGAATTTGTGAACACCATAGCTCAAACGGGTCCAATAGAATCATGTCAGGACACTTTGCACAGGATAAGAAGACCCAAGGAAAGCCTTGACTATTGAGTTTCTCTCTACTTTTTTCATGTAAACAATGCCTCATTTAAAGTGGACATGTCCTCTGAGAGAGTCGTCTTCACTAGAAGCTGTACATACCCTCTGAGGCTGAGTTGATGTCCTCATCAGTTGGGTCTAACTCATTAGATTTCTCTTAGGCAGCCATTACTAAGTGTGGTAAAAGAAATTCTAAAGATGTGGGAAAATGTTCTCAATATATTTTGTTTGGTGGCAAAAATGATATGTGTAGTTGATATAAATATTTTAGAAAATAGGGGTATATAAATGTAAAAGACTGAAAAGGTTATCTTTTGGTGATAGGCTTCTATGCAATTTTATTTTTGGTGTGGATTTGCCAGTCTTTTCTACATGTGCGTTGTAATAGTAAAAATGAAAATGGAAAAAGAAAGAACATCTAAGTACCTACTTCCTTTGCCAAACTGTGAACTCCTCAAGGGAAAGCCTGATGTCAGTCATCTTTGTTTCCTCAGCATCTAACACAGTGCCTGGCATAATTTAAGTGGGCCATAAATATTTATGAAACTGAAATGAACCTCTGATAGTTTGACACTTTCTTTAAAAAGTTTTATAATCATGTGGGTCAGGCCTGGTGTAGCAGTGGTTAAGTTCGCATGCTCCGCCTCAGTGGCCTGGGGTTCGCCAGTTGGGATCCTGGGCTCGGATCTAGCACTGCTCATCAAGCCATGCTGTGGCAGCCATCCCATATATAAAGTAGAGGAAGAAGGGCGTAGATGTTAGCTCAGGGCCAATCTTCCTCAGCGAAAAGAAGAGGATGGGCAGTGGATGTTAGCTCAGGGCTAATCTTCCTCCAAAAGAAAAATAGTTTCATAATTGTAAGTGGTTAGAAAATTTATGAACAGTTCATCCCCAAACCTATCCCTTCACCCCCATTCCACTCCCCAAAGGCAATCTTTTAAAATTATTTCATGTAGCTCTTGTGATTATCACTGATATTTTAGACAATATGATTTTACTTCTATTGTGTAACTCATCATGTTAAGACAATACTTGAAAACAACCCGACATGAAAGGTGAGAACTCAGCTCGCTGCTACCCACCTTCTCATTCCACATTTGTTAGTTATGTTATTATTTTTAGCTCACCTATTAAA